ACGTCTCTGTAGTGACCGTGGAGAAACCAGGGTCTGGCAGTCCTGGACAGAAATGGTGAGATTCATCTCACCTAACTTTAGCTATCCAAACATTCAGAGTCCAGTATCAGCTATTCACTGATACTCCTAATGTAGTTGAGAGGAACAGATGGGCTTCTTCCTCCAGTGATAGATCCCACCTGGTCTAGTCACCACAGGACAGCATCCTCTGGACAGGGTGAGTTAGGAGTTATTATAGCCTGTAGTCCCTCTTTTAGCAGCTTGACATCAGGTAAAAATATCCTGCTCTGAATAGTGTGAATGATTCATTATTTTTTTTGCCCTTCAGTGCCATAGTAGCCAAGTTGTGCGTTTTGGGCAGATGACCAGAATATGGTCTTCATAGCTTGTATGTTGCCTAGCAAAATGGGTTCTGGTCTTGGCTAGAGCTTTAGGAAACGAAAATAGTAGTATTATTAATAGTAGTAATACAAACGTTAATGTGCTTATTGTCACTTAGAGCCTGCTATCAGGCTGTTTCTTGAGGTCAGCAAACTAAGATATCTGGAAACAGCTGTGGGAACTGACTGGGGCCCTGCACGGGCTGTTTATTACTTTAATGCTCATTGTTGGAAGCAATGAGCCTTATGGAAAGGACAAAAATGTGGGTCTGCTCCCCCCTCGCTCTGTTTTCCCCTTCCTCTCTCTCCTGCCATGGCTGGGCACGAAGAAAACAAGCGTAACGGTAGAGAGAGCATGGTTGCGGTGATAGGAACTGCAAAATAGAGTAATTGGATAAAAGCAATTCCTGTAACTAAAGGGTTCTTTCATCCCAAAGCCCAACCATAGTGGCTTTGCCATACTCTGTTCTTGGAGCGCTCGACAGCTGCATGAAATAAACTGTCAGCTAAGATCATCTTTAGGAGTTTGTTGTAACTGTAGTAGAGGGGATGGCTCTTGGCTTGCGAAGAACTCTGTGGTCTGGCGAAGGCAATCAAAGAGGGTGGTAATAGCCAGGCCTAGCTATCTGGAATTGCTGGGTAACGCAAAATGCCATTATCCATTTTGTTAGCTGCAAATGGCCTTTATTTACATTTCCACTTAGGTAGGTAGTTTCTTACATTTCCACTTGGGTAGGTAGTTTCCGCCGTACTCCGAGACTTCAAGACATAGCCTTGTTATTAAGACGTTTAAAACATCCTCATGTTTAATAAAAACATCTGATGGGACTGAAAGCCTTTGGATTTTTTTTCTTCCCCCTTCTCTTTTAATAAAAAAACCAAAAGCAAATAAAAGTATAAAGCTCTCATACAAATGCAAAGTGTCTGAGAAGGGACTTTCTTCCAGGGGGCCTGTGAGCAGCCTGTACACTTATATTTTTATTGTTATTGTTTTAAGAGAACATTTTAAGTTCTGGATTTCGAGGGTCATCCTGCTGGGACGAAGCCAGAGTTATGACAGTTGGCAAAATATGCATCTACAGGGCAAAGAGAAAGGAGCTAGGGTGGGTGTTTCTTCTCCCCTTTTGTGTTTGTTTTCGGTTGACCTCCCAAACTCAATCTCTGTGTTCTTTCTGTTGTCATTGGCTGTTTTGGAGTTGGGCAGACAAGGAAAGTGAGAAGCAAAGAGATAGATCTGGAGAAAACTGAGTGTCGAATGCAGTCCACTCTATCTGAGCAACCACTGCAACTCCAAGCCCAACGAGCAGGTACCTTGATGACCCTATATAGGCTGAGAAGTATGTTTAGGACTACAAGCAACTGCACGGGGCCAGGGCATGGAGCAAGCACTGCCTGGTGATTGCTCGCACTGCTTAACTGTTAATGCTCTTTTTTGCATGCTTTTTACTCATTCCAGTTTACTGTGTTGCAGAAAATGTCTGGTTTCGGTGTGGGGGTAGTTGGGTAAGGCCAAACTGCTATTTTGGGGAGGCAGGTTGGGGAGTTTAGCTGCACCGAGCTGTGCCACTTGTCCTCAGGGCCAGAATTTGGGCTCTGGTCCTATTTATTTTACTAGTGTAGGTGCCACCACTAGGGTCAATTACTCCTACTCCAAGCCGCTCTTCAGGGTCCCTGATACTTCTTTGGTTGAAGCCTACAAACATCCCCAGTCTCTCCTCTTCCTGACTGGTGCCCAAGAGGCAGTGCGTGCAGAGACAGCCTTGAGCCACTTGTGCCCAACT